CGAGAGTCGTTGCCAAGCCCCGCGGCTGGGCAGGGGGCAGGCGGGTCCGTGGCGCGCGAACCCGCGCGGTGCCGCCCTCCCCTCCACCGGCCGGAGCCGCGGCGCAGGGGAGGCAACGGGGTGTGTCACCGCTCAGGCGACCCTCCACTCTCACGTCGTAAATCCAGAAAGCCGGGACTTTTATGAGGCGGGAGGAGGCACTGGAGCGATGCCACCTGGGGGGGGGGGGCACAGGGAGTGAGCTGGAGCTTCGGCCGCAATTTGTGCAACATGTTAAGAGAAAACTCGTTTAAGCCGCCTTCATGGATCTGTCCGTCTTTCCCACACTCTGGTGGCCAGAAGGTCGTGGTGGGGGTCAGGCCGCCAGGGGTTCCCGGCCAGCCGCCCCGCGGAGTGCGCGGAGACCGTGGAGAAGGCGCCCCGACTGCACCCCGCTTGTCCTGAGGACCAAGGTGGGATCAGGTCTCACCGCTGTTAGAAACGCGCCTTCTTGCAGAGGACATAGTTGAGTGGAAAGTGTTTTTCAGGAGCCCAGCCCACAGCCAGGGGACCAGGCCCCCGGGGCAGCTGGTGCACCCAGCTTGTTTCGGGAGGACGCCGTGAGAGCGTCCGAGTCAACGTTGAATGAGTAACCCGAGTTGTTTCTCTCTCCAGCGGCATCTTCCTCTGGAAGCCCTGAGAACACTTTTGTGCCTTCCGTCCTCCTCCACACCCAAGAAAATCTTTAGTCAGGAGAAAGCCAGCTTCCTTCGGAACTCCCCCTCCCCACGACTTGGGGGTGGGGCGGGGGCTGCGCTGCACACCCTGCCCAGCGCCTCCAAGGGAGGTGGGGGGCGGGGGCAGAAGTTGTAATTAACCAACCGACTTTGACCCTTGATCTGCAGGCTCCCTGGCAGTGCCCCAGGCCTTGTAGGAAAGTGGTGAAATGAGGGCAGTGAGGGGCCCTGTAAGGGCTCTTGCCTCAGTTTCTCTCCTGAATAAATTGGTGGAGACAGTGGGTGTACTGGTGAGATCTCTGTGGCCTGACCTGCCAGGATCCAATGGCCTGTGACGCTGTTGGGATGTTTCACAGGTTATCTCAAGGCGCTGCTTCTACAGCCTCCTTAAAACAAGGGGAAACTGAGACCCAAAGGCAGGTGAGCTGCCAGCTCACCTGAGGTGGATTAGGGTGTGGGCCCAGGATTCTGTTTATAGTTTCCTGCGTGACCAAGTTCCCTAGCGGGTTGGCAGGTTGGTGTTCCATCTCCAGAAGGGTCAGGAGAGGAACAGAGCCCCTTCACTCCTGCCTCCTCCCTCACCTGTGTTTGTCTTGCTGCTTAGCTGCTCCTTCGGATCTGATAAACTGAACTTGGACTGTGTTAAAGGTGAGCTGAGCCTTGCGAGACTCGGTGTGCTGTTATTTTTAGTTTTATTTCACATCCCAATCAGTAACAGATCATGTGTTGACTTTTACAAAGGACAAAGAAATTCCGTTTGTTCAAATCATTGACTTCCTTGCATCCTGGTGATTTTCCCCACCACAGTTCTGGTGGCCGTTGCAGGAGTGGTGGGGGAGGCCTCCATCCCAGGGGCTGTCCCATCAGGTGACGGGCAAGGGCTTCTGGGTGCTCTCTGCCACCTGCTGGTGCTGTCCAGGTGAGGGGAGCTGTGCAGACCTCTCACTCTATAGGATCGGCCAAGATGGTTGGGTCCGGGTCAAAACCTGGAGGGCACAGGTGAGAATTTGCCCTCATCATTCTGGGGAGGGAGAGTCCTGTGGGGTGAAGCAAAGGTAGAAGGCAAAGCACTTAATTGAGCCTCTAAAAGCCATGTGGCCCACTGGAGAGTTTTCCCACAGGTTTTGGAAATGAGAAAGGGAATGTTCTCGGGCCACGCTTGGGTGCCTCAGATGGCTGGAGAGTGGGGAGTGTGTTTTGTGGTGGCTTGTCCCCTGGCTGAGCCATTCCATCACTAGCCGACCATGACCCCAGGAGCCAGCTGGGCACGTTTCCTTCACCCCACCTCACAGACTCAGCACATTGTGACCAGCTAAGCATTGACCCCAGTCCCACCGGGAGAGGCCCTGGGGGGAGCTGGGGAGCAGGGAAGCATTTGAGGTCTGACCTTCCTGCCGGGGCCCTCTGAAACCCTTAAGGCATCAGAGAGCCCCTGGAAAGAGACACTTTTACTGACTGAAGGCTCAGGGCGCCAGTCTGACCAGCACTCTAGCCTCTCTCCCCGAGGCACGATTCTAGAAGTTCCCACCCCCAGGGCAGAACCTTTTCCTGGCCTCACTCCCCTTCCAAAGCCAAGGGAAAAGCCCAGAGGTGGGCACAGGGGGCTGAAAGCTCACAGCGGAAAGGAGATTGCAGGCTACCTATTTGGGCCCAAGAGCCTGGCCTAAGCCCTTCACTCCCCGCCCCTCATCTCCCAAGGCATTTCTCCTTTGTTGTATCAATATTAATATGCAGGGAGTAATGCTGGCTTCTTGAGGAGGAACCTAAGCACCTGTACCAAAGGGCTAAATTCCATCTCTTGGGCTAAAGGGGAAGCCGGAGAAACAGGGATGAAGCCCCATACTCCAAGCCCTTGCTGAGTCACAATGAAAAGCCAGGAAGGTACTTGAGGGTAGATGAGCCTGGTAGCGGCCTGGAAGCCGAAATGACATGCTCCCAGATGTGGGCATCCCAGGGCCTCTTCCAGGCCCCCAGGCACCCCCTTTCCGGCGTTGGGGCCTCTGCAATCTGTCCTCCCAGTTCACCAACACACCCACCCCGGGGAGGCAGCCAGGCCGAGGTGTGGGGGACCAGAGTTGCTCGGCCCGGCTCTGGCTAGGCAGTGCAGGGGTCTGGGCCGCTCCGTGTCCAGGCCAATGTGGACAGGCTTCTCAAGTCCGCTTTGGGCCCCAGAGTACGTGTGTGGGTGGGAGGGAGAGGGGGCTGGGGGACATCAGGCCCCCCGTGAGGGTCCTCCTCTAACTCCTGGGAAGTGCTGGCAGGGAAGGACGTATCTGCCGTGGATGGGGACGGGAGAGCAGCTTGGGCCGGCGCAGTGGCCTGGATGGGGCCAGGGCCTGTCCCGTGGGGCGCTGTCCCATAAGCTGCCAAGCCGTTTGCTCCAGGCTGCGGTGACCCGAGACAGACTCCTGCCACACCATTTGTCCCAGAAAGAGAGCAGGTGAGGGCAAGTCCTCTGGGCACAGGGAAGACCAGAGCGAAGGGTGGCCACTGTTGATGTTCACTTTCAACAAGTTTGCAGTCCCACGGGGTGCCCAGCCCCGTGCTGGCCAGAAAGAGGCGGGGAGGAGACAAATGGAGGCACAGTCCACGGCTGGTCAGGGCCACCCACCCTGGCACACGGGCTCAGGTGCCCGGTGTCAACTTCGTTACGGACACAGTACAAAAGGCAGTTGGGAAAGGGGAGAAAGATACTGCCTGCGAGAGAAACTTGGGATTCACAGAAGGGAAGCCGTAGGCTGAGGAACGGGCCCATTGTTTCCAAGGCTGCCCACCTTTCAGGCACTGCGAGCTGACCTGCGGGGGCTGGGGGAGATGGACACAGGGGACCCCTGCCTTTCCTGGTAAGGGGGCAAGGCCACCTCACCCAGCGTGGGTCTTGCTGATACATTGTCGCTCCCCATTCGGCGCTGAGTCACACCCCCCCACCCCCATGTGGTCAGAGGTTAGGCGTCCTCACGTGTGCCTCACCTGCTCGCCCTAGGGAGCAGCCGTGACTCCAGGCCCGGCAGGCAAGCGGTAGGACCTGGCCCTCTGTCCGGTATTTGGCCAGCTTGCCGTCTGCAACAGAGGGGACTTGCTGGGGGCCAGAAGGGGGGAGCCGGCCCTTGGGTGGAAAGCTGCCCATGCCCTCAGCATCACCCAGCAGAGGTGAGCTGGGCCAACCGAAGGGGAACCGGTGAAGGCCCGAGGGAGTAGGGAGAGGGCCGGCTGGTGTGGCCTTGCCGTGCTCCGCAGCTGTGGGCGGGCGATGATAGCTGCAGCCGCCGCCTTGCCGGAAACATCTAATTAGGGGACAGAGAGCAGCACAGGCAGGGCCCAACCAGTTCTGCTTCCTGCCTCCTGCCACCCAGTGCCACCCAGTGCCACCCAGTGCCAGGAGCGGCACGCTGATGAGCATTCCATGTGCGTGCGGTGGCAGCAGGGCCAGGCTCACGGGGGTGGCGGGAAGACAGGTTTGGCGGGGTGGATGGCATGAGGCAAACATCCCCACCCACAGGGTCCCCTGCCCCTGGCTCCCTCCCTGTCCCCTGCTCCTCAGCACCAGCTCGGCGGGGTTGCTGCGGAGTGGGAGAGGCAGGCACAGGAAGTCGGTCTCCCCGGTCTCCCTGGCTGGGGTGGATCCGCAGCGCCCCCACCCTGAACACTGCCACCCCCTCGGCGCAAGGGAGCCAAGAGTGACAACTCCTTCGGAGCACAAACCAGTGAGCCCTCACCTGTCACCACTCCTCCCTCGGCTGCTGCCTGTGCAGGCCGTTTGGCCAGGCTCCAACTTCCAGGAGCTTCGCTCACGCTATCCGATATGGAAGGACAGAAGAGGGAAGAGGTTTCTGTTCTGTTTGTCACTACCTGGATTGAGAAATGGAAATTGTCATTCAGCTTTGAATTCTTGGCCAAGAGCTCCCTCCGGTAGCTGGTAAAGGGGCATCAGAAGCTGCCAGCACTCTGCCACACCCCCGCCCCCTCCCAGCCCCCAGCCGGGGCGTGCACGGACAGCCGTCCCTGTGGGGAGGCCGCAGGGACCCCGAGAGCTTGGGCCTGCCGGCCAGCCTCCCAGGCCTCGGAGAGAGGCGCCACGCCAGCTCAGAGGCCGGGCCGGGGCCAGGCACTGGTGAATCAACTCCGGGAATGAGGTGGCTCATTAAAGTCCCCCGGACAGACGGACGCCAGTGCCAGCAGAACGGGTTCTGGGCGGCAGGCAGGCGCATTCTTCCCTTGTCAGACCTTTGTTGTGTTTTGAGGGGGCGAGAGCCAGGGCCTCTCCCGAAACTTCTTCGGTGCTTTCATATGCACGCTTCCTCCATCAGTAGTCCTCGGCCTTCCCTGTCTTCTGCCTCCAGCCCCCCTGCCCTGGGGCCGCCCCTCCCTGGGTCCCCGGCCTCTCTGTCTCAGCAGCCGTGAGGCAGGGGGTGCACTGGGCCTTGTCTGTGGGTCTGAGACCTTTACTCGGCCTCCCAGAAGCAACTCATCCTTTCCTTCCTCTGCCACTCTTGATTCTTCCTTTTGAAGCTTGGAAAATGCTCGTAGCTTATGAGGTTTAAGTACAGCGAACCCTTGCCCAACAAGATGGGTTTGAACTGCGCACCGGGCCACTCAGACATGGGGTTCTTCCCATAAATACAGCACAGCGCTGTAAATGTATTTTCTCTTTCTTAGGATTTTCTTCATAACATTTTTTTCTTCTCTAGCTTACTTTATTGTTATAATACACAGAATGTACAAAATACGTGTTACTCGACTGTTTCTGTTCTCGGTAAGCTTCCAGGCAACAGGAGGCTCTGGGCAGTTAAGTTTTGGGGGAGCCAAAAGTTATATTTGGATTTCTGACTGTGGGGGTGGAGGATCAGCACCCCTAACCCCTGCCTTGTTAAAGGGTCCACTGTATAGAGTTTAGCCTTTTGGGGAAGAAAACTACTGATGAATTAAAACATTAGCTAGTTTGCTCTGCTTTGCTCAGCTTTGAGACCCGTCCCCTCCGTGGCACTGTCACTCAGACAACTCTTCCTCTTCTCTGCTTCGCAACGGGGTTTAGTGTGAGGTGTGTGTCGTGGGGAGCGGCCGCCGCAAAGGGCTGCCAGGTATCGGTGCCTTGGAGGGTGGAGGTTGGGAGCCCAGCCCTCACTGTGCCGCAGCGAGCGGTCCCTGCCGTGGGGGCGGGTTGCATAATAGCTGGGCACGACGCCCGGGAGACTGTTAGGCTGCATCCACCTGCTGCTCCCTGACCTCCTCCCTGCTCCACCTCACCTGGCCTGTTTGCCTGCCAAGCTTGGCCAGTGGGAGTGGGGAGCCTAGAACCCTGAGGAGCTGCAAGAGCAGACACCAGCCAGCCTGGAGGACCACCCGGTCCCCCGAAGGCCAGCAGCTAAATTGGCCTGAAGCAGCAGCCCAGAGTGGCCCAGGTCACTGGGGACCCGTCAGGGCCAGGGATGAATCCCTGGGCCCAGGGCCTCCAGTGGTGCCCCTTGTCCACGCAGGAGCATGGATGAGACCTGGAATCCGGAGGGACTGGCCCAGGTGGGGCAGGCAGACAACTCGGGAGGGATAATTGGCAGGGCAGGTTCGGTCCTCCCAGTTCCGCTAAGACACAAATTACTCAGTGGGGCAGGCCTGTGGGCTGTGGTGCTTGGCGGGTGTCCCCTGTAATTACCTTAATGGGGCAGGAGGGAGGGGCAGCGTGTATGGGCTGGGGGCAGCTTGCTCTGCCATGTGCCTGCGAGGGGCAGGCGGAGGCTCCCGGGCCCAGCCAGCCCACTGCCAGGCAACTGTCCTGAGACCCCAGTGAATCCTGTTCTCCCCACCAAACCCCTCAGCTGGCTGTTCTTCTCTCTGCAGTCAGTCTGGGCTTCTGCCCACCACAGCCCTACCGGGAACCAGAGCCGTCGGTGGCTGAACCCCCATCTTGCCCCCTGGTTTTGGACATGAGCCTTCGGGACTCCAGCTGTAGTGTGGCCCCTGGACCCTGCGTGGTAGCCCAGCTGCCCTCTGAAGACGTGAGTCGTTTGGCAGACCCCCAGAGCAGAGACCACGGCTTCCTGCGCACCAAGATGAAGGTACTGCCCCTCACACTGTCTCCGAGGATCAGGAGCGTGTCTATAGACCTGTGTCCAGCCCACAAGACCGGGTACAATGAGACCCAGACAGAGGCTGGCCTTGGATCTGGGTCCAGGTTTCTGCCGAGAAGTGGACCCAGCAGGGCATGGGGGGTGCGGGGAGAAGAGAAGCAGGTCTAAAGCGACAACGTCATGCATTGGGAAGAAGCGGCAGGGTTCTAGAGACATTTCACCCTTTGGAGTCCATTCCAGGAGTTATTTCGGTTTGTTTCTGTCCTTAAGGGGAGGTACCTCTTCGCTAGTCCTAGGAAAAGCAGGAGACGTGAGCCCGGCTCAACCCCTTCTCCTGGCTTCCCCTCCATGCCGCGTCCAGAGTGAGCTCTGGAGTCCACTTGGTGGTTAGCTGTCCCTTGAGGCACGTGCCCGGTGGTCTCCAGCTCACCCGAGCGTGCCGCTTCCGGCCCCGTCGGCATCTGAGGCCTTGTACCCAGGGCAAGGCCGGGGGGGTGGGGAGCAGCCTGCTGTGCTCAGCCTCTGCAGTGGGAGCAGTAAGGAGGGCGTGGGGCAACAGAGATGCCCCTGCTTTTGAGGAGCGTGCAGACAGCGAGGCTGTCGCCGGCTGGGCCTGCATTCCTGAAAGGTCTAGGATCTGGAAGCACCTGCCAGCACCGATCTAGTGGAAGGAATCTTGTAGCTCTATTCTGTGTGCCAAAGGACTGAAGAAAGCTGGCAGCAGAATGCCTTTCCTTCCCCTCTTCCTCGTGTAGGCCAAGCGTGTGCTGTAACCAGAGGGGAACCACCCAGACACGTGCTGGTCGGTTGGCCGGGGAACCAGCACAGTGGCCCCAAGCCCCTGGGGCCTTCCTCTCATCCCTTGGACTCTGGTCGGTAGGGAGGGCATGGAGAGAGGGCAGAGGGCACGGGATGGCAGATGCGCCCGAGAGGTGGGTCCTGACCCAAAAGGTCTTGACTAGCCGGCAATAAGGGGCCTTTTCCTGGGGCCAGAAGCAGTAGAAGAGTGTGATGTGATGGGTGACAGGAGGAGGTGACAGCAACAGGGCCACCTGCAGCACAAGCAGCCTCTGGACGTTAATGGCTGTGGAGGACCGAGACCATGTCTGTCTGTGCCGGCCACAGGGCTGGAAAGGAACTGCCGTCACGCGGAGCAGCATCCTTCCCGAGGGGCAGAGCGTGGCCAGGATTTGCTTCCAAATGATCCAGGGCCAGGGGGAGGTTGGGAGGTAAAGATAAAACAAGACTGGCCCTAAATGACAGTCACCCTACTCATGGTACTCATCTCCACATCTGAAAAGATTTGAGCCTTTCCGTGGTTACAAAAGAAATGAAGCAGGTTTATAAGCAAGAGGGCTGTGAGGATGGCAAGGGGCCTCCCCTCATACCGTGTCAGGCCTGGCTCCAGTAAAAGCAGGGGGCTGGGCTTCAGGCTCCGAGCGGCGGCCTCGGGGGGCGATGGCCATGACAGAGGCCATATCCTGGTCGTGCCCCTGTCCTCCCTCAGAGAAGGCCGACAGAGGCCCAGGGGCAGGGCAGCAGCTTTGAGCCCCAGGAAGGGAGGCCTTCCTAACAGGTGATGGTGACCCCAGCTGTTTCTACAGGTAGTTCATTGCACATCTCTAGAGGTGTAAAGGGGCGGGTGGCAGGGGATTCAGGAACCCAACAGCAGGCCTGACCATTGACCCAAAGGTTCCTTCCAGCCCCACCAGCGCTGATCTGTGAGCCAGGGGCACAGAGGTGTGGCCTCCGGAGGGCGAGCTCGGCTTTCCGTGGGCGGCTGGGGGCCGGTGTTTGCATCCTCCCAGCATGCCCACCTGCAGCCCCTGCTCCCGGACGGCTGTCACAAACACCATCCTCGCCCACAGGTGACCCTGGGGGACAGTCCCAGTGGAGACCTCTTCACTTGCCACATCTGCCAGAAGGCCTTCACCTACCAGCGCATGCTGAATCGCCACATGAAGTGTCACAACGACGTCAAGAGGCACCTCTGCACCTACTGTGGGAAGGGCTTCAATGACACATTCGACCTGAAGAGACACGTCCGCACCCACACCGGTAAGAGGAGCCCCTTGGGGTGGGGCAGTGAGCTCCTCCAGCCCCTGCCCGGTGGGGGATCCACAGCCTGCGAGGGGCGTCCTGGAGCTCGGGCAGAAGCCCCCCTCGGCTAATTGGTTTGGTCCCTCAGGGAGCTGGAGACGGGACAGGCCTCCTCGGTTCCCCTCCCCCAGAGTCAGGTGGCCTGGCCTTGCTGTGGTGGGGAAGCTGCTCACGGGGCTCCTGTCGGCTCCCTGACACCCCGCGCTCTCCTCCCTGCAGGCGTGAGGCCCTACAAGTGCAGCTTGTGTGACAAGGCCTTCACGCAGCGCTGCTCTCTGGAGTCTCATCTCAAGAAGATCCACGGCGTGCAGCAGAAGTACGCGTACAAGGAGCGGCGGGCCAAGCTGTACGTGTGTGAGGAGTGTGGCTGCACGTCTGAGAGCCAGGAGGGCCACGTCCTGCACCTGAAGGAGCACCACCCCGACAGCCCACTGCTGCGCAAGACCTCCAAGAAGGTGGCCGTGGCCCTGCAGAATACTGTCACCTCCCTGCTACAGAGCAACCACCACCTCTGAGTGGCACCGCCTGGCCTGGGTCGCCTGCCCGCTGCCCGGCCAGTCCACCCTCCCGCTGCCTCTTGTGGGCCGCGGTGACCAGGCCTGGAGGCCCCCACCCCCCGCCTGGGCACACGTGCCGGCTTAGGCCCTGCACTGAGCTCTGTTCACGTTTGCGTTTTTGTCTGATGGGCAGAGGCCACTCCGAGCCCCGGGCCAACATGGGCGAGGCCCACCTTCAGAGAGAGGACTTCCCACAGGAGGGACGTGAGGATGCTTGGCAGCCTCCCTCCTCTGGAGCACAGGGGCGGGGACCGCTGGTCCCCCGTGGACAGCAGAGGAAAGAGCACGGGCAGAGAGCAGCCGGGCAAACCCAAGGTGCTGCTGGGGGAGCTGGTGCCCGCCTGCCCCGCGGTGCATCCAGCGCTCAGGACCGCGGGGGGCGAGGCCCTTCCCACAGGGAGATGCATACACGTGCCCAGCCATGGACGCGTGTGCGCACACAGGAGGCCTTTCCACACATCACCTCATTTTTAGGAAATCGACGACAAGGTGCCAAGGAAGTTTTATTTCCTTTTTTTAAAGATGACACATGTACAGATATATTAATATATTTTTGGTGCCGATGGCGGCTATTTTTAAGAGAGGATGGAGCTGGCTTTGTTCCCTCTCTATGCAGTTCTATTTATCCTGGACATTTCATACCTCCTCTGTGCCTTGGCTCTGGGGGGGCTGCCCTCAGCCACCCCCACCCCTCGCACCTAAGACCTTCCTCCAGCCCTGCCTGGGGGCTGCTGGTCTGTCTGTGGTAGCTCGGGCTGCACTGGCTCCTCCCCCCCCCAGGGCTCTGCCTCCCTCCCACATCCTTTCAGGGCATGCCTGGGGGTTACTGAGAGCCTGCTTGCCTCCCAATAACAGACCTTTTGTGGAACAACTCACCAGTGTGGAGACCAAGAGTTTGTCCAGCTGCGGCTGTAGGAGAAAGGCCGGTGGGGTGATGAGTCTTTGATGCACCCAGAGTCCACCGTCGAGACTGAGAAGAGAATGGGACCAGACTGCAAGGCCTGCCCTTTCTCTGGTTGAGAGAAAAACCCTAGGGCAGCAGCAAAAAATTGGGACAGAATAATAACCAGACCCATCAGAGGCCTCTCGGGAGGGCAGTATTGGAGGGCTAACAAGTTTTATTTGTAGCCTATTTTCTGACTCTTTCACAGGACTAGGCTGGGTTGTGAGCACATAAGGAGCGAGCCATCCCGGGGCTGGTTGGCTCCATCGGAGGAAATCGGCCACCAGGCTCTATTGGTGTGGCTGTGTTTCCCGCTAAAAACAGGAGAAGGGGTGTGGGTCAAAAGGGAGAGAGGGGCAGGGTTGGAGCCAGCCTGCCAAAGAATGAGAAGGCAAACTCGAAAGAGGTCCGAAGAATGCAGCGGGCTGGGTGGCGCAGCGAAGCCGAGCCCCTGAGCAGAACCAGCCCCAGACCGCAGGGAAGGCGCTTTCTGGGGCCGCCCTCTGACTGTGTATAGATTGTTCTGGAAGACTCCTGTTTTATTTTACTTTAGAGTGTCTGGGAGCTGCTGTATTCTGGAAGTTATATAGTATAAACCTTATCTGGAAGCTCTGTTTCGTTTACATTTCTGTATCCCTGTGTTATTGCAATTGGAGGGAGTCCTAACGCTCTGTGTTGTCTGTTTTATTTTATAACTTTCCCCCCAACTATTAAAATCAAAGGATTATCGTTTTCTGTGTTTCTGCTTTTTTGTCTTCTAGACCTCTCTTTCCACCTGCAGGGAAATTAATCAAAACAGTGGTTGCATTCTAGTCAAAGCTTTCCCCTTTTACGGTTACCAGTGAGCTCCAGTCAAGCCAAGAATCTGGCTTGCACAGCCGGAGCGGCCTGCCCGTGGTCGCGGCACTCAGTGCCTGCCGACCGACCGCTGGGTTGCTTGCTTCACCTGCCTGGCACTCCCGCATCCTGACGGGGCCCTCCACCGGGCCAGTGTGGTCGCTCGGGGTCCAGTTTCCGCTTCTCTTCCTAGCACCTGCCAGGACCGCAGAAGGAAGACAGTGATCCCAAGTGACAGGGTGCAAAGGTCACATCACTTCCGGGTCAGGCACCTAGCTATAGGGCTGGCCACATTTGCATAGCACACGTTCGGTGCCGGGCACACTTATTTCACCCACAGTAGCTCGCTGCCATCACTGCGGGCAGAAAGAAGCTGGGTAGTGGGCCAGGGTCTCCTGACTAAGGTGGAGCTGGGGTGCGAACCAGACTGCCTGGCTCTGGGGCTGTGCGTGCATTGCCCCTCCAGGAAATTCGAACCAGACGGGAATTTACAGATTAACTGGCCTTCCCCATCACCTACCTAGGATCCCTTGCGGAGACCTGATCACTCTGGGGACCCAGTTCCGTGTTCTTCCATCATGTCCCCCCTGCTAGGTGGACACCAAGGAGGGGGGTGGCTGCCAGGCTTGGGCCTTCGATGTGATGTTCCAGGAGGTGTGAAAAGGGTTCATGCCCTGGTGCTGTGAAGAGAAAGGAAAACACAGGTCTGACGGTAAGGCTTCCTGTGAGAAGCCCAGAGGATTGGCAGGGGCCCCTAACCCTCCTTAGGTCTCTTTAAGTAGCCAGAGGATTTTTATCTCAAGAAGCCTCTCAGTGTGAAAGACCAACCAAATCCCGTTTTTACCTGTCCCAAGATGAGCAGAACCCATTGTTGGGAACCCAGATGATTAACTGCTGTGTCAACTTTAGGAGGCAGCGGGGATAAACTTCTAGGAAGCCAGGGGCGGGGGTGGGGGATGTTCCCGGGGCTCCCTGTGAGCTTCTACTTTCTCTCCCACTCCTTAGAAGAACTCCAGTGTAGGACACCTCTCCTAGGAGCCCTTCCCTAGCAGCATCAGGTCAGACAGCCCCATTTCGAGGGACCGTATGACCTGCAGACACTGTAGCATGAGTGCCATGAGAGAAAAAGGAAAAGTACGGGGCCTCTGCTGACTGGGAAATGGGCCCCAGCCAGGCAGGGATAAGAGAGGAATGGGCGTCAGCATATAACCCAGGACACGTGTGGGTCGCCAGACTACAAATGCCGTGGGACCTGAAAAGGAGTCTTTTGCATCTGAAAGAGTAAAGACTTCTTGGAAGACGTGGAGCCCCAGCTAGGCTGAGAAAACAGGGGATCTGAATAGAACCAAAGAAGTGGGGGGTGGAATAGGATCAAGCCCAGAAGGGAAGAGGTGTGGGCAGAGGGTCTCACTATTTCCATCAGCAATCTGGATGCTTGCTTCGTTCATTCAGCACGCCAGAGGCATTTTTGGAACCCCGCCCAGGTGTCAGTCAGAGCTGATAAGACAAGATTCTGACAGGAGAGCCGGCTAGGGCCTAGCAAGATGGCCTTACCGAGGATGAAAGCAGAGTCCTATTTTTTTTTTTTTTAAGATTTTATTTATTTATTTGAGAGAGAGAATGAGAGACAGAGAGCATGAGAGGGAGGAGGGTCAGAGGGAGAAGCAGACTCCCCGCCGAGCAGGGAGCCCGATGCGGGACTCGATCCCGGGACTCCAGGATCATGACCTGAGCTGAAGGCAGTCGCTTAACCAACTGAGCCACCCAGGCGCCCCAGAGTCCTATTTTTATAGCCAAAAACAAAGCAAACAAATGTGGGGTGGGAGCACTTTACAACAGGAAGCGCTAGGAAGGTTTATACCTTATATTTTATGTATTTTCTAATTTTTTTTTTACAATAAGCATATATTATTTTTACAACCAGAAGAAAATAAAAGTATAAAACAATTTAGGGGGTTTAGCTGACACAAAGTTCAACACACTAGCCCCCCCCAAAAGCCAGCGTGATCTTGGACAACATCAGGAGCGTGGCGTCAACAACCCTGCACCCTGGGCGCGTCCCCGGTCAGTGGGTCTGAGGCCCCGCCCTGTCTCGTGCTGTCTGTGCGGGCTTGCGCAAGTGACCCAACCTCCCAGTTTCCTCATCTATAAATGAGGTGGGTTCCTGAGTTCAAAAGTCCCTTTCTGATATAAAGACTTTATGTCTCTAGGCCCCCATCTTGATAAAAGCTTTGAAGAAACTCACTGACACCTTGGAGTGGAGATGAGGAGACGCCGGAGGCCGAGAGGTTGCTCAGTGGTGGCAAAGACCAACTACCACGGTGGCTGGCTTGAAGCAGAGGGAAAGGCTTACCCCGGGTGGTTCCAGCTGTAGAGCCTGGGCCGAGAGGTGAGGATTAGACGGGGCGGGGAGGGGGGAAGGGGACAGCCCCCACTGCAGGGAGTAGAAGCCTTCCAAGCCCCGGCATGGCTTCCCCAGGGGGCGGCTGCATGGGGGAGGTGGGAGGGGAGGGGAGGGTAGCCCCCCCCACCCCGGGCACTGTCACTGGAGTGCTGGGGCTCAGAAGCCATTCGTTAGCGATTTCTAACAGGACTCTGTCATGGGACTGAAGGCTGGACAAAACAATCTTCAAGACTCTTTCTACCCTCAAATTCTAAAAGGCCAGGCCAAAGTACAGTGGTCATGACTTCCCGGCCTGTTTACCATTCCCAAGAAGGCAGAGCCAGGGTGAAATGCTAGTGAACAGAACGGAATGGGAAAGACAACACTGGAAAGAAGCAGCTGGGGGGGCTGTCTCGTACGCTGGGCTTGAGGTGACGGAGACCTGGACTGACTGGGGGACGCAGACCCCTTCTCACTGCCTCTGGTCCTGGCCCGTCCCCTAGGGCCACCCAGAACCAGGCCCCTCCCTCAGGAGATGGCAGCCACCTGACCCAGGGTGTCCCACCCTCTTCGTGTCCAAGACCAACGTGCCCTCCTCCATTCCTCATGCCAGCCCCCTTCCCGAGTTTCTAGAGTCTGTTTTGACATTGCACCCCCCATCACCCAGCCTCGCACCTCCTCGCACCTGGTATTTTAGTTCCTGTAGCCAATCAGTCAACTCCTCTCGAGGCTCCCTCTGAGATTGCCCCTCTTGCCGGGCAGCTCTCCGCCCGGGTGGCAGGCTCGCCGGCCCGTGGGGCTCAGGCCGTGCGCCGCTGCGGGGCCAGCGCTGGAGGGGCGGTCGTCGGATACGCGGATTCTGGTACCGGGCCAGGGCGGTGCATTGAGAGTTAGATCTTCCAAGTTCTGTTTCCTGAATGTAAGAGCTGGGTATCAAGTGACTGATTTCCTCTGTTCCTCCCTATTCTCTCTACATAAACTGGGTGAGAACTTCCGCCCTGATCAATCTTTCAGAGTAGAGTGCAACACAAATCAGGTGTCTCACAAGGCGCTCGGAGGAGAGGGGCGGGCAGCCAGCTACCCTGTGTAACCTGCCTCGATCGCAACCGGGGGCACCACCAGCCCTTAGACTGCTCCTCCGACTTCAGGCTCAAGGGGCTGCCACCCCCACCCCCACGGAGAAGGAACCCGGGCAAGTGAGTGCCACAGGGTGGGCCGCTCTATGTCCGGCTGCCAGGCCACACCGCCCATTGGCATCAACAGTAGCCATCTCCTTCCAGAGAGCAGAAGGACCCAGAGAGGCCCTTGGGACACTGGTGTCACTCACTGCTAACCCCAGAACTCCTGGAGCAAGCGTTTGCCTCAGGAGGACACGTCAGCAGTCCTACAATAGCAGCTAATCACCGCTTCCATTCGCTGAGCTCCTACTACGTGCCAGGCAGCATCCAGCTTCGCTTCCCTCTGACGTCATCACTAATCCCCACAACGACCCCAGGAGGTAGCTATTACTGTTCTATTTTTAGACAAAGAAATTGAGGCTCAGGGAGATTAAATATCTTGCTCAAGGTCACATGGATAGCAAGCCATGAGGCCAGGCTCCAGCCTGAGGTTTGCTGGACTCTCAAGTTGGGGTTCTTTGTTGTCTCTCCGATTCTCAATGATTATGAAATGGGAGATCTTTTCCTTTCAGTTCTTTACTTGTTCTCTGGACCCTGAGCACCTACTGTGTCAAGCAAGCACTGTGCTGACGGATTGGCTTTGCAAAGATGAATAAGGCATGGGGCCCGGGCTCCAGAGGTCACCTTCCTCTGGGGGAAACAGAGGTGGCCCGGTCCTGCAGGGGGTGGGACAGGTGCACGAGCGGGTGAGCACTGAGGACAGCAGGAAAGGGGCCAGGCTGCCCCAGGGCCCCACCCTCAAGCAGAGATCTCTGAAGCTCCCCAGTGTCACCCACGTCAGTAGGGTTGAGAAAAGGAAAGGAGGGAGAAAACTCAACACGGTTGAGCACCCACCTCCCATCCGTCTGGTGTACTATGCACCAGCCCCAAGGTCGGCGCTGTTGCTGTCTGTCCAGATGAGGAAAGCGAAGCCTAAAGAGGTCACGTGCTGTCAAGGTCACCACAGCCACCTGGCACCTGGCTGGAACCCCCAGCCTCTCACTGTCGAGCATCTCACTGTCTTCCCAGAAAGTATGTGGAAATAGAAAAAGAGGGAGTTCTAAGCCTGGCTGCAGGGAAAAAGCCAAAGTCCTCTGCAGAGACCACGGGGGTCCAGAGTGTGAGAACCTAGCCCCCACCACGGAAATGCCAGGTGTCTTGTTCCTGTTAAAGTCACAGCCACGGCCATCTTGCAAATATGCCAAACCCGGAGAAAGGGCCGGAGGGGAGACCCTTAGGGGAGTGAGAGCGGGTCAGGGCGTTCCAAACCCACAGGAGCTCCGAAGTGAACTCCCAACATCCACCCCCACGTGTACCCTGACCTCCTCCCTACAGTCCCAGTTTTCCAAGGTAGTGCTCTTGGCGGGGAAGACACTCATACTGTCCTCACCACCTCGGCTTGTCCTGTCCAGCTGGCTCCTGCCCAGCCCCCTCCCGGCCTCCCCGCCTCTGGTGGGGGGGGGGCGGGACTCCAGGTAACAGGCCTGGGCACTGCCTCCTCCCCGGCCCAGGGTGAGTTGCTGAAGGACACCAGGAGAACTGGTAGGACTTGTGTCCCTTCTGCCAGAGGCACAAACAAACCTACCAGTGGTAGTTACAGGGCAAAGGAGCGGACTGCCTGAGACTCAGGAGGAGGACCGCAGGCTCGCTGCCAGCCACCCCTGCCACGAGGTCCTTGCTCAGAAGCAAGAGGGCCCTTGGAGAGTGGGGCTCTCTCCATTCCTGCCACGAGAGACCTAATACTTCCTCCTCCACAAGACGATTCTCTTCTAATACTAACACTCCCAAGCATTCTCTTCCAGCATTTTCCCAGGGGTTCTGAGAGGCTCACGTCAGGGTTTTCTGAAGCATTATGCAGGAGCCTCCAGGGGTCCACCTCACACCAACCCCCCAGAGGCTGGTGTAAGGGAAGGAGGCGGTAAGGAACTGGAGATCAGGGCAGAAGGGATGGGAGCCATCCTTACCGGCCTCAGTGCCTAGGTGGGGAGGAATGGCGTTCCCTAAGGAGGCCAGAGTGCTTGTGGGGGTGACCACAGGAGGAGGAGCCCTTCACAGGTTTACTTTGTTTGGGGGGAACTTGTTACAGAAAAAGTAGAGGAAAAAAAGCAAAGCATCCATGGTCTGGTTGGGAGAGTGGGGGAAATAAGTATGTACCCAAATTCAAAATGGTGCATTGAAATGCGATGTAAATGAGTTTTTAGCAGATACAATTTCAGTCTCAATATAAAGAGTTCTTACATTATCAGTAAAAAAAAAGAAAATACACACCACTGAAAGCTGTAAATAGTATGGATGGGCTATTCATGAACAAGCTTCAAATGATAAAAATCATATGAAAAAATTCAGCTTCATTCAAAATTGACGAAATAAAAATTAAAATCGGATCTAGAAGTCTATCATAAAACTGGTCATAATAATGAAAAAATAGGAACAATCTAAATATTTAACTCTAGAGTACCATTAAGAATTATAATGAAATACTACGTATCCAATAAATATGATGTTATAAAAATATTTACTAACAGGAAAATGTTTGCAATATAGTAAGTTTAAAGAGCAGATTCCAAAAGTGTTATGGGTAGGCCCATTTTACATTTTGGTAATCACAAGTCCACACGTACATCATAAAAATTACAGAAGACTAAACACAGCGTTTATAGTACTGAGTTATTACTCAATGGTGGAATTATGGTTTTATTGTCTTGTTTGTTTGTCTATATTTTGTACTTTACCTACAATGATCCCATTTTGATTTTGCAATGAAAACTTTTGGGGGACTTCGAAAGAGTGTTTGGCAGAGGAAATGTACGAAGAAGGCTGATGTCGGAGGTCACCCAGGGTGCAGAACTAGGGGTCAGAAAAGAGATCCAGGAATCACAACTGTGCTCTTACTCTGAAATCTCTAGGGGACCCATGCTTGTAGAGAAAGCCCAGAGGATTTGCAGTCAGAGGATGAGTGAATCTTGGTCTACCAGTTGACCCTGAGGAAGACACCGTATCTTTCTGAAACTCAATGTCTGTAAAGTGGAAGTAACAGTAACAGAGGATTATTGTGAGGATTAAATAAGATAATTATTTGCTTTGTGAGGTATAAATCCCTAAACAAATGTGATGTGTTTTCATTAATAACATTCATCTCTGGCTCAACCTTAGCAGGAAAGCAGGCCAAGTGCAAACTGGTCAAGTTCGCGCTGGCTGCTGAGAATGCTGGATACGCTGGAGGTGAGGGGCAGTTTTCCCATGTGGCTCAGGCAAACTGATGTCCTGGTCATAGAATATAAAAAGCAAAAGAAAGTAAACTTACTCTGAGCTCAGAGGAAGGTGCTTGGAGACCTTCTGACTGACCTCTAAGGAAAGAATACCTAGCCTGTGATGAGAAATCCCTGGTTAGTCGTGTGCTGGGCACCAGGAAAGAAGAGAAATGGCCCAAAGCACCGATGTCTGTGACTCCCTTTACCTACACTTGTTTACTGATGTTTTGGCAAGACGCTTGGGGGCTGAGTTGGGTGGACCAAGGATGCCACAGCTTGTCATCTTAAGGAGACTGGGAGAGGCTGGGTGGTTGTTCTGGTTAGATGGGTCCGCACCCTGCACGGGACAAGGGAAGTCACGGCTTCTGGGTGGAGGTGGTAGGCACGCTCATGAATCATAAACCCCTCTCATTCATAACTGGTTAGCTGGTTCTGACAGGGCCACGCACAGTTTTTACACAGTATGGTGCCAAGCTACACCCTCCAAGAGCACCACTTTCTTCATCCCACTAGATGAAAGGGATTTATTGACCAGATGACAAGCTTTCTGGGTACCGACCATGTTTGGAGACTCCATTTTGACCACACCACTCCAAAGGCCTTCAGATGAGGAGCATGATCTTCACTCTCCTTTTCCTTCTTTTTTGCTCCTTCTAGGATGCCCCTCCTGCCTTTCCTTCTGTTTACCTCTTTTTCTTCTTCGGAGTTGGTTTCATTGCTCTTCCTCTCCTTGTTCCTCAGGTTTCCTTCTCCTTCTCGTGACCACCTTCTGTGGTTCTGGATCCAGGCAGCATCTTCCTCTGCGCTCTTCATATCAGAGGCACCCACTACTCGGAGCCACTAGATGCTGGGGTGTCCTGAGCTAGAGCCCACCTGTCCGCAATGTGAGGCTGCCCCTCCTGCGGGGGTTGCTGAAGCTTTGGGTTCATGAGCTTCTTTACTCCTTGCTTCACCTAATCCCCTCCTCAATTATCCAACAAGCCTTTTCAGATCTTTCTGTAACTAAGTTTTCCTCCTAATCCTCCTGCCAACCCTGCTCCCCTGCCCCCCAGCCCCCTCTCTCTTCTGCGGGGGCCTCTGATCTATCTGTACCTTGCTGGTGCTGACATGTCCTAGACTGAAAGCCTGGTCCAGGTGTGGTTTCGCCTCCTTGTCGGTGGGGGGGAAGAGGCAAGGACAGCTGTGTGCTCCTGTAGGCTGCTCCCCCTCCACTCTAGGCTTTTCTAGGCTCTTCTGTTTATCCCCACGATCTAGCCGAGAGCCAGCATGGGAGTGTTTTCTGTCTTTTTTATTCCTTAGAACCTCACCCCACTGTATTTTTTCCCATCAAAATCTCATTGCGAAATCTCCTACCCAAAGGGTTTCCCAATGCCTCCCAGTTTTGAATCAACCTGCTGTTTACAGCACACCCAGATCAGGAATAGAGATGTCAGGGGGCACCAGATCTGATACTACGCCCTGAAGACACTCGTGTGCCCGAATCAGTCATTGGACTGGTGGCACCTGGACAAACAAAACTATTTCCTCCTTATTTCCCAAGAAGGAAGAAACCAAGTAGGCTTCAAGCTGAGAATAAGGACTGGCCGTAAGACAAATACCAACCTGGCCATATTCCTCCCCTGGGGAGATGTCTGAGGAAGGGCTCTCACTGCAAGTCCAGCCTGAACCAGGGAAGCTCCTCTCTAAGCACCTGCAGAATTCTCTGCCCCTCAAAGTGCCCAGTCCCTCCCAGTGGGCCATTTCATAAGAATATGCATCCTAGTTCCCCACCTGTGACTAACGGGGTAGATTTTTGGTCCTAGAGATCCTGAGTCAGGAGCAGCCTCTACAACAAACACAGAGAAGTAGGTCAGTGTTTTTTTTTTTAAACAAGTGAAGCGGGTTGTGCCCTGCATACAAAGGTGACCCACCACCCACCTTGGTAACCTGACAGCTCTCTGTCACCAGCAAGAAGGGTCCACCTGTGGTCCTTCTTATTCTTCAGAAGAAGCTGAAGGATCAGTTTGGGGTTGAAAGGGCAACCTGGATATCTACATCATGTTCTAGCCAACAAAGACATTTCACCTTGAATTTTATTTTAAAAATCTATCCAAAGCCCCAATTCTTTTTTTTTTTTAAGATTTATTTATTTATTTTAGAGAGAGAGAGCACGAGGGGAGGGGGAGGGGCAGAGGGAGAGGAAGGGAAGCAGACTCCCTGCTGAACGTGTAGCCTGACCCAGGGCTTGATCTCAAGACCCTGAGATCACGACTTGAGCCAAAACCAAGAGTCCAACACTCAACCGACTGAGCCACCCGGGTGCCCCTCAAAGCCCCAATTCTGCATCTAATTCCCAGAGAGCCAATCCCTTCATCTAAATGAACAGAATGCCATACGGACATCAAGCCAGCCTCTGGAGGCTCATGTCACCCTCTCTTTGAGGTGAATGCTGTGGACAGGAGCTAAATCTTTCTGCTCCTATAATTTGAGGAGAGAAAACACCATCTGATGCCACAGCAAGCTCCTATTCTTGGCACTTGGTGTCACTCTTGCTTCACCTTACTTCAGCTCAAAGCTTTCCATTGACTGGTGGCAATCACCACAGAGGGGCAGAACTCTCTCCTCCCTCTCCCTTCCCCCACGTACACACACACACACACGCATGCACAAATGTCCGGGCAGGAGCCCAGCTCTCCTGAGGAAGGGCAAGTGTACAGGCAGAGGATGACAGGAGTGCCACATGGTGAATGGTAGGAGGAAGGGCCTCATCTTCCCTGGGAAGGCTTGGGTGGAACCTAAGCTCCTGGAATTGTTGGTTGCTGACTTCGCCAGTGTTTTCTTAACACTCCAAATTGCTCAGAAGACAATCTAATAGCACAAACACGCTCGTACAAACACTAAGAGTCACTTGACATCAAATTGGCAAATTTTGGTGACAGAAACACAGAAATGACCCGTTGATAGCTGCAAGGCTTGCTGTCTCTCTCCTTTTCAAGACCTTGGCTACCAACCTTTGTCAATCCCCAGTGTAGGACACATTTTTTTTCTGCTAAGGACACCTTTTGGCAACCAAATAAATGCCATATTCCCTTTTAGTTAGTCTAGTTAATTAGCATAATTAAACTTCTCCTCTTGCATGTTCCACGGCCACTGTTCCACCTTCTCAATCTCTTTTAGCCTCTGCTATTTCCCTTTCCCCATTGCCAGGCTTCTCTCGATGAGGGTTTAAGGAGCTCCCACGGGACTCTGGGTTCACTCCAGAGTCTCCTTCTGCAACCCCCCGCCTTCCCCCCCCCACACACATTGTCTCTAGAAGATTCCTTTGTCCTTGAGGCTTTCCCATGGATGGATAACCCTTAGGATCACTGTGGTTCCTCCTCCTCTGGGGCACACAGATCTAATATTCTTCTTATAAGAAATCTAACTCCTTTACCAGCCATGAGGGAAAGTGGTTCAGAGTGAAGGAGAGGCTTGAGAGTCCCTAGTGAAGAGCCACTACCCAAGAAGAGCCAGTCTGGAAAGGGCTGCCTGCCCAGGCCCTGGCCACACTCCTATCCGCAGCAGCTTGCAGCATTACTGGCCTAAGAAGCACAACAGTATCTAGCTTACAGGGTTTGCAGTTACTTTGCTGTTCCCTGATCCCAGGCTAACTGGCTGTTCTGAGCCAGAGTTCTCTGGGAAGGTGGGGCCTCACTGTGGCCTCCCAGCAGAGTTCTGACATCTCAACACACCAGGGAGTGGGGGTCACCATTTCCCTGCTGCCTCGTCTTTGAAAACACCTTGTGAGAGTGCATCCTGGGTTCCTAGGTTCCACCCAGATCATCCCACCTCGAGTCTACCTTTTAATAGTTCCTGGAACAGGGGCTAGAAGTATCTAGCCTGGCAAGTCGCACCGGAGGTGACTGAAGGCCCTGTGATGAGGAGACACCGTGGCTGAACTACCATGTATCCTATTTCTGGAGGTAAGAGTGTTGATGCCAAGGTCAGGAATGAGCAGCTCCCACCAATAGTACCCTGTGGTGCTGGGTCCCAGCCCCTCCTGCTTTCTCTAGAGCGGCATCCCCAGGATAGCAGATGGAAGCCCTAGACTGTGGGGGTACGTGAAGTGATCCAAGGGCAGTAGCAAGTCAGGCTGTACTCTTCTGGAAGTAATTCAAAGTACTTTATGACCTTTATCTCATTGATCTTACTAACATCCGAGGAAAGAAAGAAGGAAGGAAATGGGCAGAAGCCTTCTCATTTCATCAAAACAAAGTGAACAGGTGCCTAGGTGGCTCAGTCGGTGGAGCATCCGACTCTTGGTTTCAGCTCAGGTCATGATCTCAGGGTTGTGGGATCAAACCCCATGAACCCCAATAAAAAAAATTAATGACAAAAAGAAGTACATACAAACTTAAAAACTTGGACCCTGGCCCTATGGCCCTAGCAAATGAAACAGATAGCTGATTTGTGTGCGTGTGTGGTGGGGGTCCTCTACTCTGGCGGTCTCTGGTAATCTGACAGTTCCGACTGACTTCAAAAGGTGGCTGAATTGGATCCCCTCTATGCTGAAAAGCGTACCAAAGCACAAATACACCCCCCGCCCTGCCTTCCTCAAACTTTGTAAATAACAGAGACGCTCACTAGAGTAATTAGAACAAAAACTGTCAGCTAAGTGGTTTGAGAAGGTGTGGCTGGAGCATTCTATGTGTTTTCTCTAAAGCCAGACGTGTAGACCGTCCAAAATACAAGTTTAATGAGCTTATAAATTCGGAGTGACTCTTCATATCTTGTAGTGAGGTCTGGAGTTCAACTACTTCACCCTTGACATCAAAGAGGCTGCTATAGGGTGCTCATCCCTGAACATTTCCTCCAGACTCTGCTCCAAGGACTTCTTCCTCACAGTTTCACCATCTACCCACACAGGCAACTGACCCAAATGATTCAGTCCCCAGGGTTCTGTGGAGGGAGGTAACTCCTGGCATTCAACGATGCTTTGTGAGGTTTGATCTCCTGCCGTCCCTCCTTGGTCTGCCCCCGGCTACCCGAAATACCTCTTACACAGTGTGGAGATCCTTTAGGAACTTAGATGCTTCTTGTGAGAGATGGTACCCATCCTGGTTAACTCCTACAAATTCACAAGCTTTTCTAAGGCTCCAATTCAAAGCTTTTTAATTTCAGTAATCTTTGTTTGCTATAGTGCTTTCTAGCCTTTTCTACCTACAGTATTTCTAAACCTTAATTTAATTGAACTTGGATTGTGCGTAATGTGCCACAATGTGGAAAACGAATCATATAAACAGTGTCTTGCTGACAGGGTAGGTCTAACACAGGAATAACCCTGTCAGCACTGTTGGCCCACATAGGACTACAAATCCAAAACAACCGCAGGTGCTCCCACGGGGCACACGTGGGTGACATCACTGGGCTGGACCTAAGATGCTCACCCTTTCCAGCCAGTTTGTTTTTAGAACCAATATCTGGGATGCCACTTCAATATTTTACTCTATTTCTGATCAATACCAGCCCAGGGACTTAGATAAAATAAGCCTGAAGCTGAATACTTTGTCACCACTTTTTCCAAAGCCCCAGGACAGCATTGTTAATATCCAGGGCCGTGCGTGACCTTGTTATCCCACACCATGGAACGATCTATTAATTAAACAGACAGCCAACCTTATAACTAGGTCAACCTCATATATTCCAACTTAAGCCCTTGATTCCATTCCTTTCTCTCCAAAATTATTTAGAGGAAATTTCTCACCGACCAATAACGCAGAAGTGTTCTTATGCCCCGAGGTGGACTTTTCAGTCCACAGCTAACCCCGAATCCCCCACAACTTTTTTTTTTTTAAGATTTTATTTATTTATTTGAGAGAGAGAGCACACGAGAGGGGGGAGGGTCAGAGGGAGAAGCAGACTCCCTGCCGAGCAGGGAGCCCGATGCGGGACTCCAACCAGGGACTCCAGGATCATGACCTGAGCCGAAGGCAGACGCTTAACGACTGAGCCACCCAGGCGCCCCTCCCCCACAACTTCTGACACCTACCCCAGTATGCGGAGCCTCCTCTGTGAGTTTTTATTTTTCAGCCTCTATCATCCTCATGGGTTTTCCTGTGGTTCGGAGGATATAGCCGAGACAAAAGGAAAGTCCCAATCCTGTGTGTGCTGGTTGAATGAGTAAAAACCTTAAGACAAGGGACTCTCTCGGAAAAATCATCATGACATCCTAAGAAGTCATGGTGCCAAAGTTCCTGACGCTACCCTGCCAGCCCCGAACCAGGTGCAGACACAGACCCGCCCTTCCCTGGGCTGATTTAGCTCCACCAGTTAGGCATCTACATCTGTGCTCTCTCCCCATTGAATCAGTGCCCAACTGGTTACCTCCCAGGGCTCCTCGAGGGCATCACCAAGTAGAAGTCCTTCCTAGGTGGGGGACAGCGCCATTCAGGAAGCCTAGCATCACCCCGATAGTGCCACCCAACCACTCTGCCTTTGGTAGGTACATGGGGAGGACTCAGGAAAAAGGGGTGTCTTGCGATGTGGCAGCCCGGGTCAAAGTGAGTAACTGAGCCCAGGGGGCAGGGAGAGGGCCTGAACAGGGAAGGAGTCTCCTGAGACACGGCTGCACAGGTCTGAGCTAGAGGCCCTGCTAGAAACTGAATGATGAAACAGAAACACCTTCATAGTGGTGATTGAAATCCCAGATTAGCTTGGCTTTCTTTCTTTTCTGTTTTTTTTTGTTTGTTTGTTTGTTCGTTTGTTTTAATTTATGTCTGTATGAATTTTTTCCTCGGGGCACATGAAACTTGCATTTTTTTCTCTTCTTCAGTACTCCTCCAGGGGCAAGAGAAATGGGAAACACGG